TCGGACAGGTGATCCTACTCTAGATCCACAACCAAACAAGGAACAAGTAAGAGAGCCTAGATCAAGAGTCCTCAGTCTATCCTACATGACTATACACTCTCCCTAGGGCATCCCTATACTAGCAGATAACCAAAACTAGTGGGCCGATATTGGTGCCTTCGAGCCATAGGTATAGTGAGGCGAAACTCACCTTAATATGCGTGTAGATGACCACTGTAGCAAAGAACGACTCTACCAGTTGCATCTTAAAACACCTATAGGAAGATACTTGAGTCAATACTCAATCCTAGGTCATAGTCACTCGCAACAGTGACCACCTCTCATAAAATGACGATTACGGTTTCACATAAAATGACAATTAGAGTTAGGTAAGAACACTTAGCCCATTAAGGACTTAATCACTTACGGGTATGACTAATTTAAGGTTTGACTTAGTCATTATCGGGTGCAATAATAATCCAACCAATGGCCCAAATGCGTGCCCGTTCATTATCCAAATAAAGTTCCCTGATTTTAGGGTTTTCACATAAAATGATAACTAGGGTTGGTGGTCCACACTTAACCCCTTAAGAACATAATCCATTAAGCCCAGTATTGCATTAGGTTAATTGTAGGGGCATTATTAAGTATTATTTTAAGCTTAATTAATAATTTTAACATGGGTCCAGACCAACTCCAAAAGCTAGGGTTTCTTGACATTAGGGTTTTCTAACTCCTAACTTAGATAATTATTTAATTAAATAAATATATCTATGCTTATAAATCGGGCACCACCCACTGCCACCTCGGGCAGTGGTGGTCGGTGGTGGTTCAAGGTGTAAACTACCCTTTTTATGGCGGGAGTTATAAATTTTTAGGTCCAAAGATACACGTAAGCACACATCCACCCATGATGGCAGCTGGTGACATCAGAACGACGGTATGAGGTGGCAGCCACCACCTCACGGTGGTGGTGGGGGGGTTTTACTTGATTTTTCTCCGGACAAGAACACCTATACAATATCTCATCTTAAAGGAAATGCACTCACACACACACACACACCTTATGACATACACACAACCACCCATGTAGTGGCAGGCGGTAGTTGGAGATGATGGCCACCACCTCACGGTGGTGGTGGTGGGTTCTCTTTTGATTTCTTTTGAAGCAAATACACGCCAACACACATACACACACTCAAAACACGAGTTCAACAACGAAATGTACACCAAATCTCAGCCACCCTCGTGGTGGCGTATCATAGTCAGCAAGATAGCGACAATGGTACATCAAAACAAAACGAAGAAGGAGAGGAGAAAGGTTGTGCATCTTCAACCGAGAACACCAGCGACGATAACCACAACTTCGTTTCTCCAGCCTCCTTAATGTAATAGCATCAACTTGCAGGTCGCCCCTCTTCGGTCTTGATGGATCCTCCCGATAACCCTCATCGACGCTGACGAGAGGAGTAGCAGTGGTCAAGCACAACAGAGGGTGGATGGCAACGATTGGAATAAGGTGGTGGCGACTGAGATCTTTAGGTTAAGGTTTGGTGATATCCAAGGCCAAAGGGAGGTGACGAGTATTAGACCCCGTCCATGTTCAAACTCTATATCATTTGACAATTATGGCCCCTCTCCATCTATTCTTTTCAATTCAAGACCATAATTTACCAAATAGTCCTTGCTCTCTTCACATTTTAAGTCCTAATGTTACAATATTGACCCAAAATTTAGGAAATTATATCGTTTAACTCCCTATGGCTAACACCGGTAAATTATTACGGATTTAGGGCTAAAATAACATAATATATAAAATACATATCGGGGTTTAGGACTTTTCATTTATTTATTTTTATTTACTTATTTTATTTTAAACGGAATGTTACACTTTCTATATGCGATTTAATTCATGCCACTTTTAGGGTTATTACCGGTACTTTATAATTACTTCTTTTATACTTTACTTGATTATTTGCATAGTGTGTTCAAAGGATGAACTTATGCGTTTATCAAAATAATAAGTGCCAATGTCTTCGTTTCACATTATTTTTGTTTAAGCATTGTAATTTTTAAGTACAAATTCATAATTGTAGTTTAAGTTTGGAAATAACTTCTTAACCATAGAAAATACAATTTTATTTTTGGTTTGTGCATGAAACTACATGCTATTTTTGGTTTTACCCATGAAAGTATAATACTATTTCTGTTTTGAGCATGAAACTATTTGTTTTGTATACACACAAAAAGTAAAGAAGCATTTTATACCTTTCATTTTTTTCAACAAAATTATTCTTATTTTGGATAGTAAAACCGATGTCATTTATAAAAATGTCATCTATATTGTTTTTTTTTTCTTTTTTTTTTAAACAAAAACACTATTACAACTTATAGCAATGTACTTTGAAAATATATTATTGTAATTTATAAAACTTCATATTATTTCTTGTTTTCTTGCAATCAAAATTACGTTACATATTTTTGTTGATTTTTTATTTTATTTTATTTTTTGCCTATATAATGATTATAAAAATAGTAACCTTAGTTTTAACCGATAATAAGGTAGTGTTACTAAAATATTTTAAAATATATAAGACTGCGTTTTTAAATAATACTCCCGTAAAGAATTCAATCGGAATTAATAACGCCTTAATAAAATATTAATACCCGTCTTTATATGTTATAATAAACTATTCATAAATATGTAAGAACAAATTTATAAATAATAATTAATGTATAGAGCCATAGAGGATTCAATGGGAATTAATAACGGCTTACTTAATTAGTATACTTTTTGGACATGGACATGCATGCCGAAACGGTTTATGCAAGGTTTATCGAAATATGTTTTGTCTATTTATTTGGTATACGTACTAGAAAAATAATTATATTAAATCATAATTATAAATACTAGTGTTAAAATTAAACAGTAAGTGTTTTTACATAAAACGATTAAAAGATTGTAAATATATTTTTGTTGATTTTGAATCTAATTTGACAAAGTACTCATATCATTCTTTTAATTAAATATTAGAAAACTACTAAGTGCAATAATTTTACAAAAATACGTTAAATTTGGCCTTTGTAATTAAAATATTAACTGGACAATTATAACCGAAGATAATTGTGGTGTAGAACTTGGTCCCGAAGCCATAAGACTCCAAGTAGTGCCAGCAACGCAATGACATCAACTCAACTGAGGTTATCCATCGACTATAAATATTATCTTTACAAATACTGAAACAGTGCAAAAGCTTTAAACCAACTATTCATGGCGAATACAGTAGCAGAGCTCGTCTTCATCCCTGTTCCAGGGATTGGTCACATAATGTCTTCCATTGAGATGGCAAAAGTACTCGTTAATCACGATCAAAGCCTCTCCATAACCGTTCTTCTCATAAACCCTCCATATTCTGCCTTCGCTCTCACAACCTACATCAAATCGTTACCGAAGAAGGCTATCGAACGAATAAGCTTCATTGAACTCCCTAAAGATGAAACCCCACCCATGTTTGATCCCAAAGCTCTCGTGAATTCCTTTTATGAGTACATCAACAGTCATTCCAAACATGTCAGAAATGTTGTTGCTGACATGATAAGTCGACCAGATTCCAATCCGGTGGTCGGGTTTGTCCTCGATATACTAAGCACTGGCATGATAGATGTGGCGAATGAGTTTAATGTCCCAAGCTACGTATTCTTCACATCAAATGCAGCGTTTCTTGGCTTTAATTTGTATATCGAGTCCCTAGTGGTTCAAAACCAAGATGTTTTCGAGTTGAGCAACTCAGATGGCGAGATGCTCATTCCGACCTTCGTGAAACCAGTTCCGACGAAGGTTTTTCCGGAGCTGTACGAAACTCAAGAAGGTGTAGACTTTCTTATGCATTCTGTTCGGAAACTGAGAGAAGCTAAAGCTATCATTGTGAACACTTTCTTGGAGTTGGAAACACATGCAATCAAGTCTTTGTCTTCCGACAATACCTTCCCACCGGTGTATCCGGTGGGGCCTATACTGAATCTTGACGGTGTTGCTGGAAAAGACCAAGATATCGATGTTATCCGTTGGTTGAATGATCAGCCACCTTCCTCGGTGGTGTTGTTGTGTTTTGGGAGTATGGGATGTTTTGAGGAGGTTCAAGTGAAGGAGATAGCATATGCTTTAGAGCAAAGTGGCCATCGTTTTGTTTGGTCTTTACGTCGACCTCCCCCATCATTTAATGTGCTCCCCGGTGATTATGAAGATCCAGGAGTGGTGTTGCCGGATGGTTTCTTGGAGCGTACTAAGGGAACAGGGAAAGTGATTGGTTGGGCTCCACAGGTGTCATTGTTGGCTCATGAAGCAGTTGGAGGATTCGTCTCTCACTGTGGGTGGAACTCGATGCTAGAAAGTTTGTGGTTTGGTGTACCAACAGCAACATGGCCAATCTATGGCGAACAACAGATGAATGCGTTTGAAATGGTGGTAGAGGTGGGATTAGCTCACTACTAGAAACATGGGTTTTAGCGACGGAAAAATCCGTCGCTATTCCGTCGCTAAATGTTGTTTGCAATGGATCGGTGACGGATTCCCTCCATAGGTAATAAAAAGGTGGCTAATTTCTCAGCGAGGGTTTTAGCGACAGATCGGTTTTTCCTTGCTACAAAGGTAGCGACAGAATATCCGTCGCTAAATGTCACTAAATGTCACAATGCATTCCGTCGCTGTTCTGTCGCAATTTTCCATGAACAGTTTTTTTTTTTTTTTCGTAGCTAATCCCTTGCAAAATTCATATACTATTTTTTTTCCGTCGTTGATCTATCGCAAACTTTAGACATGATTTTTTTCATCACTAATCCCTTGCAAAATTCATACATTAAATTTTTTTCCTTTCCGTCGCTGATCCGTCGCACACTTTAGACATGGTTTTTTTTTTCCGTAGCTAATCCCTCGCAAAATTCATGCATTAAAATACTTTTTATTTTCTCACCACGAACTTGTAATATCATTTTTTTATTATGATTCTAAAAGAAAAAAAATACTATAATCATCAAATTATTATACTAAAGAACATCAAATAATGATACAACCAAGCATTACAATACCAAAACTATCAAAGTTTACCAAAGTGTCATTCAAAAACATCCAAAAACGAAACTATCCTTATAACATCAAACTCCCAACGGTTTAACTTCAAAATAACATTTTAGCACCAAGAAATCCAAAGTATGCAAAAGAGGTACAAACAGAAAAAAGTTTAACCTTCACAATAACATTTTAGCTGCTCTATTCATTTCATGTCCATCCAATCATCTTCGGTTCTCATTCCTATAAAACATTATTCAAAACAATCAAAAACATCAAATACAAAAGGTTAACAAGTCATTCAAAAACATCAAATACCAATGGTTAACATCATATTACCTCTAATTTTCAATTTCCCATCATATTTTGCAAGGCTGCATACATCTTCTCCATTGCTTCATATTTTGCATCAATTTGTTGTTGTTTGGCATCTATTGCTGCAGCTTTGGCATCCATTTCCTCACGCATTTGTTGATGTTTAGCTTCCATTTCTGCAGCTTTAGCATCCATTTCGTCACGCATCTCGTTTCGTACACGTTCATAGACAACCTAAAGTACAATACCATGATAGGAAACTTTGTAAGTACAATGCCATGATAGGAAAATTTGTAAGTACAATGTCATGATTGGAAACTTTGTAAGTACAATGCCATGATAGGAAACTTTGTAAGTATAATACCATGATAGAAAACTTTGTAAGTACAATGCCATGATAGGAAACTTTGTAAGTACAATGCCATGATAGGAAACTTTGTAAGTACAATGCTATGATAAGAAATTTTTATAAAGTACAAAATTAAACGAACCTCTTGGGATGTTATTGTACTAGATGTTCCTTCCAAAAAGCTCGCTGGATCAGACACAGATCCGAATCCATATATTCTTCCTTTCTTGACTCCTCCGGAAACATCACACCATGTTTCATTATCCAAGAGGGGGTGGCAACTAGTATCATCACCAAACTTAGCCACCATAGCACTTTCATAAGCCTCCTATTATAGCAAAAAAATATGAAAAAATAGAAACATGAAATAAGGAATGGAATGGTTCATTCCATCCCATTAAACTCATAATCAAGGAATAGAATGAACCACTTCATAAGCCTCTTATTAATTAATACTCAAACCTTGCATAAAGTTGATTACTACTTACAAAACACTTAATTACAACTTATGAATCATTAACCCGAAAGATTTGTTTTCTGTCAATTAGTTGCTTTAACAAAGTCATTAACCCGAGTAGTAGGAAGTTTTGTTTCCTACAAAAGAATTGAAAATACCTTAACTTTAGCTGCCTTTGGTGTAATGTACTCTTGAGTGGACCGTTTAGTGTGCAACCTTGCATAAAGTTCAACTCCTGTAGGAGGGCGTTTAAGCATTGCTTGCTACAAAATTCATTAGTAATACATTAAAAAACAAAACAAAAACTCAACAATCTAAGTGGAAACTAACGTGAGATGCAAACATCTTACCATTCTTTTCTTATGTTGACGAATAGATATAGAACCCCCGGTATGTTTGGAAACAGAGCCATCTTCTAATTTATTTCTGTTATTTTTCCCTGATTGTGATAAACGTTTCCATTTGGATGTGGTCCACACTTCATTGATCATTTTTTCCCAATACTCCTTTTTTATCCAATTTGGGCGATAGTCCTTTAGCAAATTTAAATCACCTTCTAGTGAGGCATTCACATTTGCAGCTTTGGCAAGTTTTAAAGATGCTTCACGTGCTCTTCGCATTACGTCAGGAAATCGTTTCTTCATACAGTCTTCCAGACCCCTGAACAATATAAGTTTTTCTAATCATTTTTAATATATTAATTATTCACAACTAACATTATCTTTCCAGACCCCTGAACAATTGCGAAGTGAGAATGTTGCATCTCATCTTGTTCCTTACAAGGTCACTTCCTACTTCATATTAAAATTTGTTTTTTTTTTAAATTAAAAAAAAAATACTAATTTCATTTTTTTGTTGACAGACATTTACTGGGAATAGGCCCTCCCTTAGCCTTCTGCTTCCATCATTGGATGCTTATAGAATTGGACAGGTTTAGTATTTTTATTGTTGCTAATCTTCATTTATTTTGCTGACATCATCTTACAAAATATATATATATTTTAGTTGCCAGCTATGTATGAGCACAGAATTGCTGTGGAAGGTTTCATTTGGGGTATCAATTCATTTGGGGTTTATTGATATGTATACAATTCTAGACCACAAAAAGAAAACTAAGTCAGTCATTAGGTGTCCAGATTAAGTACCCATTAAGTAAGAAAACGAACAGCTCCTTTGTTATAATGAAGGATAAGTCACCTGTTTCTTCTCAAATTCACGTTGCCACCTCCTAAATATGAAAGAGAATTAGGGAAAACCTAAAAACGTAAGGATTCCTGAATCCTTAAATTCTCATGAACTGGAAGACAAACTATGATGAATCAATCCCTAACTCAAGTTCTAATTCTAAGTGTTTATTGTTATATAGATGCAATCGATGGTAGACCTGAAACTACCTTGCAGATAATGAAGAAGGCATTCCATATGGCTACGAAACACAATAACCAGAAAGTTTCAAGGTAAATTAAACCCTAACAAAGTATATTGTGAAATTGAACTAAAACTAACCTAAGAGGGATGAGATTTACCTGAATCGGAGGTTAACAAAGAATACTTTCAGATTTAAAGATATGGAGCTTGCCGGAATCGGGTGAGTGGTGTCGTCATCTGTTCGAACAGAGATGGTGATGAGATAAAGCAGAAGCTAATTACACTTAGTAAAGAGTGATAAAGATGGAGGGAAGGAAAGTTTCACTGGCTTCGTGAAGATGGAACTGGGTGCCAATTTCAGCGAGAGAAAAAAGAAAACGTGCGCACCCCAAATAAATTTTCTGTCGTCGTTCTCTCGCTGAACGCGTACATATGCCACAATTTTGTTATCCCTCGCTGAACCCTAGCTAAGGGCCTTCATTTTTCGAGTGATTAGCGAGGAATAGTGATGTATCGTTAAATAGTTGCCAGATCCGTAGCTGATCCCTCGGTAAATCCTCGCTAATATTTCATATATTACATAAATAAAATAATTATTAAAAACATGGTAGATCTGTCGTATTTCCGTAGCTATAAGTCTAAATTTTTGCTAGAGAATAAATCTGTAGCAAAATCCGTAGCTGAAACTCAAGTTTCTAGTAGTGGCTGTAGAGATTAAGTTAGACTATAAGAACAATGTGTTTAGTCCTGGAGGTGATGTGGCCATTGTTAAGGCAAAAGAAGTTGAGAGAGGGATAAGGCGGGTGATGGAGGATAACGAGTTGAGAGAAAAAGTGAAAGAGATGAACAAAATGAGCAGGGCTGCAGTTACTGAGGGTGGTTCGTCGTTTTCTTCAGTTGATTGTCTGGTTCATGATTTTATAAATAATACAATATGAAGTTCACGTTAGTAAATTGAGTCCGATATGAATTTGAAGTTGCTATTTGATGAATTTCTTGAAGATTGTGCAATATTGTAATTGAGTAATCTCTTGTTGTAATCTAATAAATAGGGACTGACGTACGATTCCATAGTAAGTGTTTCTGGTCTGTAGTAGATGTTGTCGGTTCATAGTAGGTATTGCCAGTGGTATATTTTATAGTAGAAAAAATTTAAAAAAATCAAAAATTTTGCACTGCCTCTGAAAAAATCCGGTGTTGCTGGTGCCACTTGGCACCATAGTAGATCCGTTGGTACTACAAAACGTATTTAATATTCGATGGATTTTTTTGATGTGGTTTGATCTTTAAACCGTATTATTAAATCACAAAAAACTAAATTGACATCAACAAATAAAGAAACCGTACCACTTAAAGTTGTAGTTGGCATGGTTTCAACATTGCCACACCATTTAACTTGTTAATTGATAGGGTTTTGTATAATCAAAGTACCGTTTAATTTGTTATTGCGGTTTCATGTAAATCGCACCTTCAAAACTATACATTTTGATGCTTATTTTATAGCTCGCAACATTAAATTACAATTTTTTGTGCTATTTTTGTAAACCGCATCATTAAAATCGTTAGGGTTTTTAACATGTTTTCAAAATCACTGTTCTTCTTCATCTAGATTCTCTAGGCATTAAATTATTTTATTCATTAAATGTAAATATATTGTTATTATTGTTTATTTTATTTAACATGTTTATATATTAAATGGCTGTTTTCTTGTTATTAGCATTTTATGTGAATAAAGGAAGTTGAGCAATTTGTTGTCATTGTTTGTAAAATCTTTAAAAGTTTTAATGATACCGAAGAAATCAAATGATAAAATGGTTTTGTTCCTAACTCCACTTGTTGGTTAAAATATAAAGAAACACTAATTTATAGTAGCTCGATTATTTTATACATTAATGATAATACATAGAATAACAATTCATACCTTGATGATGATCCCATTCAAATGATCCCAATACAATTTCAATAAAATGTTTAATGATATGAAGATTAATTCAGGTGATATTGAACATGAAAATTACAATACATATTTAAAGAAATAGAAACATTGTTATATTGACAATTTCAATAAAATGTTTAATGACATGAAGATTAATTCAGGTGATATTGAACATGAAAATTACAATGCATATTTAAAGAAATAGAAACATTGTTATATAGAGGTTCTAAATTTATGAAAGTTGATGTCACATGAAGTAATAAAAGTTTCACATGTCTATTAGATCTTTTCCACAACATGTTTATGGAAGACAATGAATTAGCTATTATGACATAACAAGCAAAAAACCTAATGTGTCTTATGGGATTGGAAATTGAAAAAATACATGCATGTCTAAATAATTATATGTTGTATAGAAAGGAATTTGAGATTCAACATTATTGTGTTTGTTGCGGTGAATCGAGGTCTAAATCAAAAAAAGATTCGGATGAAGTTGACGATGATGTGACAAACAATGGAACACCAACTAAAATGTCGTGGTATTTTCCTATTCTACAGTGAGCGAAAATGTTATTTTAAAACAAAAAACAAGAAAAATTACTTTATTGACATTCCGAAGGTTTCAGAATCATCTTAGGTGCTGTTTGTTTTTTCTGAGGCAAAATGTCTGCAGTCTGCGGACCACATCTGTAGACCTCTGCAGTAGAAGAGGTGGACCAAACATCTGCAGTCTGAAAAAAGAAGACTGTTTGTTTTTTTAACATCTACGGGCTATTAAAATAAACTGATTTTTTAAAACTTCAAAGCGAATTTTTTATATATTTTTACGACTTTATTATAAATATATAACGAATCTAGATCAACTTTTATGTATTATTATATAAAAAATAAAAATAAAAATGGTATTAATTCATATATATATTTGATAAAAACCAACAACTTTGATTGCAAAGTTATAACTAAACATTATAATTAGTGATCAAAGAATTTGATACATAAATAGATGGAAATAAACTTCGATTTTTTCAAATAAATCTATTAAAAACGTACGATAAATATTTTCTCGAGAAATTGATGATACTCTATTAAATAAAGTTTTACAAAATTTTGGCAAAAAAATATAAGAATATATTATGATTTTTTTTTTCATATTTATATAAACAACTTCAACGACTATTATTATAATAAATTTTTATTTATAAATTTGTTAAAAATATCATGTTTGTATCGTCAAATGTTTTTTTTTAAGTTTTGTAATTTTTTTTTTCATATTGTTTATCATTAATAAAGTTGGAAAAAATATAAATTAAAAAAAAACTTAAAAAAAATAAAGATATATATGTTTTTTTAAGCTAGAAGATGTCTGAAGATGTTAGAAGACTCTGGTCCACATCTGGGCCAAGAAGAGGGCGCGCAGACATTTTTAGGTCTGCAGTCTTCAAAAAAACAAACAGTCTGCGAAGACTAATGTCTGCGCGTGATCTGCGCGGCGCAGACAGAAGACGTCTCGCAGATCTGCAGACAAAAAACAAACACTACCTTAGTGGAGAAACATTGATAAGAAATATCCAAAATTTGGAAAAGAGATAAAAAAAAAAAAAACACATTCAATTTGGGTTTAGTTCAAACTAGATCAATCTTTTCAGGAATATAAATGTAACACCCCATTTATAAAATAAATAAATAAATAAATGCATAGAAACCCTAAAATCAATAATAATTGAGCAATGCGTTAGTTTCGAAGGTTAATTGTAAAGATTTTAGAAGATGGGGTTGTTTAGTAAAATTCGAACTTATTTTGTATAGAAACTAAGTTTGAGGGGTTATATTATCCAAGTGACTAAACTGAAGGGGCTACTTCTGCTCATTAATGGAAAATTTGATCTCTGTTTCCCCTGTACGCGACATAGCGGGTGGGGATGTGCTCCTCTTGTTTGGATTGCAGCACCATACACCTGCATCGGCCAAGTATATATATGAATTTAACCCTAGCTATAGATAGGAGGGGTGTGTGCATTTGGCGGCGATAAAGAGGTAGAGAACTCAAATGAGGGCGAGAAAGAAGAAATAAGAGGTGAGAAGGGTGTCATCCCCGACTTCCACATCGTCGGGCCCCTGGTTAGAAGCATGACCAAAGAGAGATAGAGACTTAACGAAATTGGGAAAGGGACTAAAAGAGAGAAGGGGTGGAGTTGCCAATCACCGGAGCTGCTGCCAGTTATCGGAGTTTCCGTCGGAAGAGTGAAGGATCTCCGGTGAAGTTTCAGGAGGTTTTCGGTGTGCTGAAGAAGGCAATTTCAATCACTACTTCAAGGCATGTCTCGATCTGAGGTTTTAATTTATTCAATAACATTCTCATTCTCGTGTATTCTCATT